TATATATATATATATATATATATATATATATATAACGTTATAGATGTATTTTTTTAGATTAAGAGTTTGTGTCTTTTTCCTCTAGCTGAGACGTTTGTTTTTAATTTTCTTGCTGTGGCTTTTCAATTTTAGTTTTGCCACACCTTGAAAAAGTTGAATTAGTCTGATTTTCTCGTATTTATTTTATTATAACTTGGATTAGAGGATTTTATAGTTTAAACTATCTATTTAAAATTTTGATGACTCATTTACTGCAAACTCTCGTTTACTGTTCAAAGTTTTTTTTTTGATTTTATATTTCTGGTCTCAGGAACTTGCCTGAACCTTTGATGACGTTTGACTTGCATCATCACTTTATTAATGCAGCTAAGATGGACTCTTCAATGCGCGTATCACATATTCATTATTACGTGCACCAACTTCCAAAGCCTCATTTTGATATGCTAAAAATGGTTATCAAACATTTACGAAAGTTAGTTTTTTTTTACTAACCTATCTTTCTTTTTGTAACAAAAAAGTTAGCTGCCTTATTCTGCTGCCACTTCTCTTTTAATGTAATGGCATTTTAGGGTAGCGGACCACTATAATGAAAACTTGATGACTGTCGGGAATCTGGGCGTTTGTTTTGGTCCAACTTTACTGAGGCCTAAAGAAGAAACTAATGCTGCAATATTGGATATCAAATTTTGTAATGTTATTGTGGAAGTGCTTATTGCAAATTATGATACGGTATGCTTTTAAATGGTTCGCTTCTGAATTTCGAGTTTCATTTAATTTTCTCGTTTATTTTTTCAGATTTTCAATAAGGAGCCATCGCAACTTGGAGGTATGCCTTGTCCACCAAAACCGAGCCATGGGTTAGGAGAAAAAGAAGATATTAGTGTAGGAGCAAGGTCACCTAACCTGTCTATAGGCAAAAAGTTTGTTTCTTTTACCTTTTTATGCATATATTTCGTATATCATTGCTGCCTCGTATGATATTTTCCTCTGTACCTAAGGTATAT